CGGGGCAGCCAATCACAGGGCGCGCGGGGGAGGAGGGGGGACGTCAAGGGCGGGAGAGTTCCCCCCTCGCGTGCCCCAGGCGTAGTACACGCGTGTGCTTTGTACTTGTGCGTGTACATGCAGGCACATGTTTACACATGTAGTACACACGCGTGTGCACCTGCAACCACTCCACACACACCTGCACGCATGTGCACAGGTCTGCACACACACACACACACACACGCACACACATCCATGCGCATGCGGGTTGTGCAGATGCACACAGAGTTGCACGTTTTTGGGCTCACACAGGTGTGCCTGCATCCCCCACATGTGTATGGAAGCACACCAATGCAGAGCCGTCCACATGGGCAGTTGGGCCTGGATCTGCACACACATGCTTTGTTCTGGCCACAGGTCTCCACAGGCAGCCGAGTGTGTGTCTGTGTGTGTGTGTGCACGCATGTGCAAATGAGCCCCCACCTGCACACATGCACCCCCACCTGCACACATGCACACACGTGCACAAACAGGCCTGCACAGACATACACACACATGCAAACACACCTGCCCACATCTACATACACACACGTGCAAACACACGTACACAGATCTGCATGCGCACACCCTTGAGCACAGATCTGCACACATATACCAAGATTTGTAGACACACACGGGTGAACCCCCCACCATCCTCACATGCGTATGCACACAGCTGTGCACAGAGCTTCATGCCCACATGCACATACACCCCACACATGCACCCATACACCTTCATACGTGCAAACATGACTGCACAGATCTCCACACCACCCTTGAGCACAGATCTGCACATGCACACATGCAAATCTGTAGACACATGTAAGTGAACTTGCATCTTACCCACACGCACGTGCACACAGCAGACAGTTGTGCACGGAGCTGCACGCACGCACATTTTCATACCCAGTGCACATACATCCCCCCACATACACACACACACACACACACACACACACACACACCTGTGCTTGGACACAACTGCACCCCCCCTTGCACACAGCGCTGTGTTCACACCCGCGGCCCCTCGGCACACGCACACGCCCATACCCACGTCCAGCCACCACGGGGCGCTGGGGGCGGACGTGACAACCCCAGCCAGGAACCTGCCTGTGGTTACGGGCCCCGGGGGGAATGGCAGGATCCAGCTGACCCGAGACTGGGCAGAGCTGGGGGGCAAGGAGGGGACCCCTGGTCTGAACCAGTCCGTGCCCAGTGCTCTGGACGGGTTCGTCTGGGCTGTCTTGGACAGGGCTGGGATTAACGAGGGCAGGCCTAACGACACAGCAGTCTCAGTGTAACGCAGAGAGGATTAGGTCACCTAGGCCCAGGACTATACGGACAGGGCATCTCAGTCCCCTAGCCCCAGGACTAAGGGTCTAAGTCTCTGCGAGAGGAGGGGCCTGGGGTGGGAGGAGGGGACTGGAGGCCCGGACCCTGGTTCTCGGTGGGGGACTGGGACCAGCCGGGCGGCTCAAGTCCCTTTACGACCCCGTTGTGGGGGCTCATCCAACTTCTATGTGCTCATATGACCCAGCTCTGGGCCTTGTCATGTGACCCCTGTCCCCACGCCCGGGAGCTCTGTGGGCCGTACCATTCTCCCCCGAAGTGTAAAAGGGAGTTTAGTTCCCCCATATCCCGCTCCACCCCCTCCTCCGGTACAATCCGGCTCTTATAACACCCCCCCCCCTCAGAATGATGGGGGTGGGGGAAATTAGGGGCTTCGTCGAAGTGCCCCCATGAATAGCCCCCACCTTGAACATAATGGAACCGTCCAGGCCCATCCCATTCTCGTCGCTTTCCAGGGGTCGCCACCAAGTGGTACCTCCCTCCCTCTGTCCCCCCCCTGCGCTCAGCTGCCGAATGGTAGCTGCCGCCTCTTATTTATCCCCCCCGGACTATGATCTTCTACTCCTGTCCCTCCCCGTCAAATTCTTCCCAGGAGCGGGCGGCAGCGGCTTTGGGTAATGGGGGGCCCCTTGTTGGGAGCAGACTCAGGTCCTTGGACCGACAAGAAGGGGGCTGGGGGGATCTAGCAGTCCCCTTTCTGTGGGGGGTCTGAGCTGCAGCTCTGGGGTGTTGCACCCCCCAAATCTGTCTTCCC